AAGAGCAATTAAATATAAGATCAGAGAATGGCAGGGGAAAAAGAGCAATTAAATATAAGATCAGAGAATGGCAGGGGAAAAAGAGCAATTAAATATAAGATCAGAGAATGGCAGGGGAAAAAGAGCAATTAAATATAAGATCAGAGAATGGCAGGGGAAAAAGAGCAATTAAATATAAGATTAGAGTATGGCATGTGAAAAAGAGCAATTAAATATAAGATCAGAGAATGGCAGGTGAAACGAGCAATTAAATATAAGATCAGAGAATGGCAGGGGAAAAAGAGCAATTAAATATAATATTATGGCATGTGAAAAAGAGCAATTAAATATAAGATCAGAGAATGGCATGTGAAAAAGAGAAATTAAATATAAGATCAGAGAATGGCATGTGAAAACGAGTCATTAAAAATACGATCACAGAACGACGAGCACACACAGAATCAAATAAGCAACCAACGACGATTTAGTCATGTGTGTTCATTATATTTGACGTCCCTGTCATAACAAGAGGAACTGCCGCATCCTTATGGAAAAGCCTAGGAATCCCCCGATTCGGCACATTGTAAAAACAGCTGATTATTTATTTCCACGCATATTCTAATGTGTTCTGATGCTTAGAATTGATATCTCAGAGTCGGTGTTTGATAATAAAACCTATTTTTAACTCATGTTCCAATATGGGAGGGAACAAATCGTGATGGAAACTCGATCACCTCTCGGCTCCCAGGACTGCCTCCCTTTAGTCCTATTCAGTCCTGTCACGATTCACATTGATCGATTCTCAAACAAATATGCTTACATGGGTCCAGCAGTCAATAATTCATTTAAAAAAAAAAAAAAAAATTACCAGCCAACTTCGTACCATGCCGTGCATTAGGAGGGCCGGGCGGGGGGGGGNGGGGGGGGGGGGGGGGGGGGGGGGGGGGAAGGGGGTGTGTTACTTTCGTGAAATAAATCTTGTGGAAAAATAATTGTATGATGATGTCAAAACTATTAAGAGAGTTCGGGATTTTGAAAATTCGAGAACCCTTGGTACATAAGTCATATACATGAAACATAATCAGTCAGGTAGTGTCTTTAACCTTACAGTTGTTGCGGCCTACATTTCAATGGTTGAGATCCCCCCCACCCACTCCTTCCAATGGTATCAGTTTCCATGCGTCTAACTGTAAGCAAACGGGCGCGGCCAGGACAGAGTAAAATGTTCTTCAAATGCCTTATGTCGTCACTACAAGAAAACCTACTTCAAGTGGATAAAATTAGGTTAAAAAACGTAAATATTCATCGCTGGGGAGATTTTAATTGTTTTTTTTGTAAATCTTAGATCATTGCGTCATAAGGATTAGACGTCAGACGTCAGCTTGTTTCACGTGGAGGTTACAGATGATTCGAAATTTCTGACATTAAATTTTTTTTTACTAATTTGTCAACTCATAATTTTAAGCTCTCCTCGGCCGAAGGAGTATTATCGTGCGCCGTTATGTTTCAAGCGTTATCGTGCCGTCCATACTCGCTTCTAGGTCGCACCAGCGGATAGGTCACACTGATGGATAGGTCACACTGATGGATAGGTCACACCAGTGGATAGTTCACACCAGTGGATAGGTCACACTGATGGATAGGTCACACCAGTGGATAGGTCACACTGATGGATAGGTCACACTGGTGGATAGGTCACACCAGTGGATAGGTCACACTGATGGATAGGTCACACCAGCGGATAGGTCACACTGTTGGATAGGTCACACTGATGGATAGGTCACACCAGTGGATAGGTCACACTGATGGATAGGTCACACCAGTGGATAGGTCACACTGATGGATAGGTCACACCAGTGGATAGGTCACACTGATGGATAGGTCACACCAGTGGATAGGTCACACTGATGGATAGGTCACACCAGTGGATAGGTTGCACTTTTAGTTTGGAGAGTTGCTGGTGTTTGAATGAAGTAAAACTAACTTCTTTAAATAGACACCACAAACATTGTTTCCATGACAACTTGAAATCTAAAAAAATCGAATCTTCATTAAACCACGTGATCACCAATAAACCTTTTTTAAAAACAAACGATTGACCCCCTTGCTCGAGTGTATGCAAATGAGAACTCCATAGTCCGACTTTCGGTATGATGTGCACTCGTGGCTGAAGATCAGAAAAGCGAAAATCGTGTTGAGTAGGTGGGTGAAGCCCCTGATTTTTATCGAAACTTGTTGAGCGAAAAAAAAAAAGTGCAAACTATATTCCAGTATAAGCGGTACTTTGTAGATTCTTTTACTTTTCCTAGATTGATCATTGCCCCCCCCCTTCCCCACCCCTCCCCCACCCAGAATACACACAATGCAAGACAATGTTCCTTTGGGGAAGGCTGTGGGATTCGTAGCACATTTTGTCCAGTCAAATTCAAACGGAACCAAATGAAAACTTGACCGCCATTGCCTTAAAAGATCGCAACTCCTTCTCTACAGATTTTAAACTGCTGCTGTGATGAATTTGGGTGATGATATATTTTTTTTTTAATCAACACCACTTTAAATAACATGAACGGGTGTTTTTTTTCAATGTAGACAATTACACTCCTCTGATGGGAGTGGAACATCCCAATGAGGATGTATTTCGTCTTGAGGTTGGGCGACACGCTTACATGTTGTTTTTTTTTTGGGGGGGGGGGCGCGACAGTCATCTTTGCACGCTAAGAAGTTTATTTGTTCAGTGAACTTAAGATCAAAGGACTTAATGCTGGATCTGTTTAATGAAGGAGCTGTTGATACAACGTCAGTGCCAGGTTACGGAGCTCTTTTTCATCGGTCTATTCGAAGTAGCTGAAGCTATTCAAAACTAGGCAGGCCCAGCATTTTGGGGGAAAACATTAACTTCTTGAAAAGACAATGAGAATAAAATGAACCAATTACTGATTGGAAATTTTAAAACAAAAATATTTAACGTAGCTTACTCTATTTGACTTCAACTGACCAAAACTATGTTTTAAACTAGAAACAGTGGTGGTACAAGGTATGATAAAACTTGAAATGAAAAAAAGACTTCTTCGGCAGACTAGACAAAACAAGAAACACCAAGAAATAGAAAACATTTTTTTTTAAACTTAAGTGTTTGGAGGTTGCCATGTAGGAAGGGAACGCAATATTATTGCCGGAAGTCGACTCGTCCAAAATCCAAATTTGTGTTTAAGACCCATTTGCGTTGAACTTTTCAAATATATATTCTGGTAACCAGGCGACAAAGCCAGGTAAGTTTGAGAAGCACTGATCCATTAAAAACCAAAGCCTGCATTTTAAAAGTCTTGACAGAAGAGACTCATCTGGGTTATTCCACCCCCAGAATTCAAACAGCCGTGATGGGCGTTAAGTAAACACAAAGATGTTTGCCTAAAATATGACCGCGTATAGCCAGTCATCATTGAACAGGGTTGTCCATCGCGGACCGCTTACTCTCGGCCATCATTACGACGACGTATAAAAAATAGATTTAGCCTTTAACGCAAATGACGTCACGCCCTATGTCCCCTCCTTCAAGATATTTACAAACATACACGTCCATGCCGTCAGCAAGTTTCCTTAAAAGAGAGAGAGTCGGGTTTCTAGGTGGGATAAATCTGTGCATGTTCCGTAAATAGACTTCCGGTAAGACTTGTATGGTCACGTGACATTGGTTGTATTGAAAAAGGGTGGCTCCGCAAACGAAACGAACCATTGCCGTTATTTTGCCACGAGCTGCCACTACCCAAGAGAAACTTAGTCAAGGTAGGTCCATGTTTAAGTAAGATCTATTTGATTGCTATATGCAGAGACATTGGGTGACAGTAAGTACATATTTGAATTCTCTGGAACTGGATTGTGTCTTAGATACTAAGTGCACATACGAACTCGTTAACAGTGAGGACGTATCATGCGTGACAGAACAATAGTTATGGCCCACGTTATGGCGCATCTTCAGTTATGGAACACCAGGAATATTAGGCATGTTAATGTAATACTATAAATAAACCCGCCAAACATTGGCGACAGAACTGCGTGACCTTCCCATCTACTAAAATTACTTGGCACAACATGCATTCAAGCAACGCATTTTTTTAAAAAGCACCAATTAATGTTACCTTTTGGGACTTTTACTTGTTGCGCCTATTGAACACAAAATTAGAACGATTAATACATACATATCTAGAGAATTATTTTAAGTGATAGTTGCTATTGTTGTTGTTATTCGTCCGTCGAAGTCGGCAATTACCATCGAGACACCCGGTTAGGGGGAGGTTGGGTTTCGGTGAGCTCGTTGGTGGCTTGCTAGACCGATCCGTGCTCGGAATAATCTCTGGCACCGCGGGCAGGGGATAGCTGCTGCAGACGGTGACCTAATGTTGCTCTTTCGGGCAAGCCTGCGTGTCTCAGCTGTGGTTATCCTATTAGCTTCATGGGATTTAGCCCCCTTCTTGACAGCTGCTCTCCACCTGGCTCTGTCCTGGGCTGTCTGCACCGATTGAGGAGGGTTGATACTGAAGGCCTTTATTGGCACTTTCAGTGAGTCTTTGTAACGTTTTTTTTTACCTCATTGGGAGCGCTTGCCTATTGTGAGTTCTCCGAAGAAATCTGTTTTGGGAGCCGGTGGTCTTCCATACGGGCTAAGTGCCCCATCCAACGGAGTTGAGACTGCATCAGGTTGGTGAAGATACTAGGTAGGTTCACTCTAGCGAGGACCTCTGTGTCAGGGACTTTGTCTTGCAACCTGATGCCGAGGAGTTTCCTGAGGCAGGTTGTTTGAAAGTGATTCAGTTTCTTGGCGTGACGCTGGTAGACTATCCACGTTTCACATCCGTAGAGCAATGTCGAGAGGACTGCTGCGCTATAGACCTTGATCTTCGTTACTCGTCTGATACCTCTCCTGCTGCGGAGCCTTCCAAATGTGGCACTAGCTTTTGCGAGTCTGCCATTCATTTCATCATCCATGACGACAGATCTGGAGAGGGTGCTGCCCGAGTAAGTAAATTTATCCACCGGGTTGAGACGCTGCCCGCTGATGATGATGTTGGGTTCAACGTAGGGCTAACTTGGAGCTGGCTGATACAACACCCCAGTCTTATTTATGATAGTATACATTCGATGGATCACATGATTTATAATTCAATCAACGTTTCTATGTCTTTTTTTTTTTTAAATTCATTTTAAATCGGATTCTTTTTTTAAAAATCAAAAATCTTTATACATTTTGGGTCGGTTGTTCCTGTTAAGATGCTCATCATACTTTGTTTCACATGAGACATGGTAAAAGATGTACTGCAAACCTCCAATTGTCCCGGAAGAAGTTGGGTTAATTTTGCTAGTACAGTCCCATGTTTGACTGCAAGACCATTTTTTTTAAATTGACGTCGAAAAAAAATGGTTACAGCACGACTCATCAGATGAAAAAAAAAAAAAAAATTAAAATAAAATTTTAAAAATTTTTTTTATATAAAAAAAAAAAAAAAAAAAAAAAGTAAAATAAAATTTTAAAAAATTCCTTAGAATAGAAAGAAAAAAATCTCTATAAAGAAAGAGTATTACACCATTTGTTTACACGTTGTTTACCAGTTGTTTACCAGTTGTTTACCAGTTGTTTACCAGTGGTTTTTGGTTTTTTTTTTTACAAAGGTATAAAACAAGGGGCCGACCGTTAAGTGTGCTCAAGTTTTAGCGTGATTTGTCTTACCTGATTATACTTCTTTGGCATCCAATTCACAACATCATGTGAACTCTGACCTGCGCACGTTGTAGATCCGGGTCTTTACCCCCCTCCTCCCCCCTCCCCTTCCCGCTCCCCGTTTCTTGCTTAGCATCTCTTTATTCTTCGCATGTCATCTGCATTTGGTTGACACCATATTGACATTCAATTTGAATACGGTAATAAACACCTCAGTGAAGCGATACCTCAATGAGAAAGTAACACTGCGCAGCTCGAGTGCGCGTCTGCATCAACTATTTTCGCTGTACAGATGAAAGCTGGGGGTGAAGAGGGTTATGGGGGATTTGGGGGGGGGGGGCAGACGTTTGCTGGGAAATGCCTGCTGCGACGACAGAAAGCTGTGCGGGTAAACTACTGGATATACTGGATTAATGTTGAGTTAATCCACATCTTCATGGAGTGATCACGCTGTACAGATGAAAGCTGGGGGTGAAGAGGGTTATGGGGGATTTGGGGGGGGGGGGCAGACGTTTGCTGAGAAATGCCTGCTGCGACGATAGAAAGCTGTGCGGGTAAACTACTGGATATACTGGATTAATGTTGAGTTAATCCACATCTTCATGGAGTGATCAGATGGGTACATGAGATGGGACGGGAGAGGTGGAGGAGTCTCTATTAAGAAATACTTGAGACAATATAGTGTAATATCAGTTTGTTTCCATAAGAATGAAACACAAAATTACGTTAATTTCACACCAGAATGTAAATTTTATCAATTAATCATTCTCTGTTTCTATGTTCCATTTTTAACGTTGTTGACTGGGACATTGTGCATGTGTTGAGCAAGAAATCCACCCTAGACATGCAGAAACATCGACCCAGCCATGAGACGCTTTCAAATATGGATGTTGACTGTGAGACATTGTTCATGTGACTGTGAGACATTGTTCATGTGACCGTGAGACATTGTTCATGTGACTGTGAGACATTGTTCATGCGACTGTGAGACATCGTTCATGTGACCGTGAGACATTGTTCATGTGACTGTGAGACATTGTTCATGTGACCGTGAGACATTGTTCATCTGACTGTCAGACATTGTTCCTGTGGCCGTGAGACATTGTTCATGTGACTGTGAGACATTGTTCATGTGGCTTTGAGACATTGTTCGTTTGTTAAGCATCACATCCTCCTCCCCCCTCTCCCCCATCTCCCCCCCCCCATAGACGTGCAGAAATATCGACCCAGCCATGAGACTATTTCAAATATGGTTTTGCGTAAAGAACTTTAAATCAAACCTAGATGCATGAGCCAAATATCTATTTTGACGAGCCCACGGGCAAATCTGCAAATTAAGAGGAAAGTATAAAACAATGATGTTTCAGCCGTTGTAGAATGAAATCTACTGAACCTAGGAATGTGGATAGGTTCCCCGTATGCCTTTCTGTCGGTGTGGGTTAGGGTTCCATTTAAATCAATCTCCATCAAAAATTTTACACCGAGAAAATTTGTTTTTTTAATGATTGCAAAAGGGATTTATATTTTCCAGAGAAATAAATGCGATGTCTTTATCTTACTTTGACGTTACCGACCACGTCCTAAACACGCGGACGTCCCCATCGTTGTTTCCGTCTGCCCATCGCAGACGTTGAGGGATACGGGGGGAAAAAAAATGGAAGCTCGCTTTCAGACGTGAGTCATCAAAATTTTAGGCATTGACGAAAATTGTGGGAGGCTATAATACGTCAGAATGGGCTTTGGGTTTCTTCTTATTTTAAAGAAGGGGATTTTGATGATGCATAGTGTAGATTTTTATTAAAACTTCCTTAGGGCCACACCAGTGGTCGGCACATCGCGACTTAGCGGCCTTAGTTCGGCTCGACCAGACGGCAACAAATCGGTTTTGACTCCGAAAAACTTAGTTCTTGGCAGGCTCTTGAAGAGAAATTATGGCTCTTAAATGTTTTTTTAAAAACCTCCTGCTTCTTATTTTTTGGCTCTTTTGACTAATGCGTTTTCCGACCACTGGGCTATAGATCATATCTGAAATGTTATGGGGGTTGAAGCGAATATAGTGACGTAGCCATTTAGCCATTCTATGACCTTGACCCTCGTCCAAAAACTGCGTCGTTTCAGTTGTGTTGCCTCGCGCGCGTGTGTCACGAGAAGCGGGTCGACCGTACGTTGTGCTCTCCGAAGATGAAAAGCGGTCATCCTGGCGTGACGTTGCTCATCGTAGTTTCAGAGCGTTTAGATCTTCAGCACTGTAGACTCAGTCGCCGTTGAGATATTTACCTGAGGGTCATATTTCACATCCTTCAACCCGCCTAACTCCACTTCTTCCTCCTTCTCCATCTCCTCCCCATCCCATCTCCTCTCTTTATCTCCCACCAATGTTGAACATCGGCAAATAGATTTTTTTTTAAAATAAAAAAGGGCCCCCCCCCCCCCCAAACGAATCTGTTTGTCTACTTAAATGGGTACGTTCTTAAGGAGTGTGTGGAATCCGGTCTAATATACACGGATTCTCAAACCCCCGCTCGTCGAGCAAACCCTTTTTCACAGACTGTACCCTCCGTACAATAGTTAGATTACTGCCTATCGTATGCATGTTTCGTCTGAGAGCTTTTGAAACAATGCGACACACTTTTGGACGCTTGAGGTGACAATGCAGACATTGAGGTAAGAATACCGACGTTGAAGTAAGACTACAGACATCGGGGTAAGAATACGGACATTGAAGTAAGACTACAGAGATTGAGGTAAGAATACAGACACTGAAGTAAGAATACAGACATTCAGGTAATAATACAGACATTATAGTGGGGTAAGAATACTGACATTGAAGTAAGAATACAGATACTTTTACACGTTAAGATGTGGCTATTTATTTATTTATTTATTTAGGCATTTTTATATAGCGCTTATCATAAAGCTCTAAGCGCTTTACAATTATTAAAACATGTAAACTAAGTAAATACAAATGAGACACTAGGATAGTAACTACTATTCTATAGAAACAATGAAAATGGCTATAAAAAGAGGACACTTTGACACTTCAGGATTAAACCGAAACAGAAAATTAGGTAGGGCAAGGAGGGTGCATCACAGGTCATAGGCGGACCTAAACAGATGAGTTTTAAGGGACTTTTTGAAAATGGACGAGGTTTCACTATGACGTATATGGAAGGGGAGCTGGTTCCAGAACGTGGGCCCATGGAAGCAGAAGGAGCGTTCACCGATGGTCTTAGTTTTAGTTCTTGGGATTGAGAGGGTTCTACTGTCAATGAGTCCTGTTGTAAACTTGCTTCCCAAGAAGTGTACATGTTAAAGGTAGGGAAACGGTTCCCAAATGTTTACAACAAATCAATTAAATTTAAAAAGCAAAGAGAATTCACCGGATCTTAGTATTTTAGTTGGCGTAATTTACGTCATAAAATGTCTTCTAAGGTGTGTTTTTTTTTTCCATCCAAGTATATTTTTGTCAAACTGCAATATATTATAGGAACCTTAACTGTATCCCCAAATTATTGTTTCTTAATCTCCTTACCGTCTCGTATGCACATAAGCATATGCAGTAAGAATAATATGTTAGATCAAGACATTTCATACGAACTACACACATCTCTCTGCACTGCGGTCTGGTTTTTTCATTATTTTTTTAAATATATTTTTTGTAATATTTTCTGTTTTTAAATGTTTCTTTAATGCTATTATTTTTAGGCTAATTTCAGTTTGTGCCGACTCCTAAGTGTTAAAAATTCACTAATTTTATTCACGAGCGATCGGTATTAGCCCTTGTGTTCCACCACAGTTGGGATTGCAGAGCATGAGACTAAGATCAGCGGAAGCAGAACGTGTAATCTTGTAGACATTTCATTACTCTGTTAGTGAGTAAAGATTGATCACAGGGAGTGTCCAGACTGCTCAGATGGAAAGGTCTTTACATTCACGCAGTGTGTAAGTCATTGAAACATGAACGTCGTGAATATTATCATTTGAAACATTATCTTATCGGCTTTGATCTTTCCTTTTTTTTCAGAAAACGTTAAAAAGAAAAAGAAAAATATTTTTTTTTGCAACTGAAAGAGAAAAGAAGTTTTAACGCTAAATACAATTCTAATTAATAAAATAAATATATTTAAGATAATAAACAAAAGAACACTAAAAAAATAACGGAAATAATCAGTAATCTATAGTGAAACGAAACTAAGTAAAAAACAAATCTTTAAAAAGGAAACAACCCCAGCTCTAATTGAACCAACGCAATTTAGAATCAAGGCAATACGAATCGATAACTAAAAGCGGAACATCACGCACCAGAAAAGAATGTCGCTGAAAATGCTGATTAGTTTCACGGCCCTGCTGACGACTGTGGTTGCCTCTGACCTGAACATCAACAGCTACCTGGGCTCCGACGGGAGGTCTTACTTTACAACACCTTTGTACTGCAACTACAGTGGGTGAGTTGGAGGTGTTGAGCAAGGGTGCTTTAAAATAATGTTCGATTGGTTTCCAGTGGGGTGGATTTGTTTGTTTGAATACAGATCGTAACGCTTGATTGTGGATTTGTTTGTGGGATCTGTAGAGTTTGTGAGATCCATAGAGTTTGTGGGATCCATAGAGTTTGTGGGATCCATTGAGCTTGTGGGATCCATTGAGTTTGTGGGATCCATTGAGCTTGTGGGATCCATAGAGTTTGTGGGATCCATAGAGTTTTTGCGATCCATAGAGTTTGTGGGATTCATAGAGTTTGTGCGATCCATAGAATTTTTGGGATCCATAGAGTTTGTGCGATCCATAGAGTTTTTTGTACATACATTTTACGAGTTTGTCGGATTCACAGAGTTTGTGGGAAAAAGAGTTTGTGGGAACCATACATTTTGTGGGATAGATTTTGTGGAATGCATAAAGTTTGTGGGACATAAAGTTTGTGGGACACAAAGTTTGTGGGGACCCAAGAATCTATTAATCGATTTTATATTATCTTTAAACGGAAAAAAAATTGTTTTGAAACTCGAACGATTTGAAATTTGAACTCCCTTCTTTAACGGATTAAGTTCAGGACCCGAGGCCCCCCACTGCAAATGTCCATGCATCCCAGTGTCTTGTGGCAAGCTGGTGTTTAAGCGTGGACATGCTTTACAACCAAGTGACGTATTCAACTTTGATCTTTTTAACAAAAAAAAAAAATAACACAAAGCTAAAATGAAACTAATCCTAACTGGTCTCCGGCGGGTTTCCTCCCCAGGAGTTTGCTCCTGACGACCTACTACAACAACCTGAGGAAGACCTACACGACACGCTCGGACAGGAACTGCTGCTACTTGTCAGATTCAAGGAACCAGTGTTGTGTCGACGGTGAGTAAACGAGGGGGGGGGGGAACAGTGGGACAATATGTATTTAGGCTTGAAATTAAAAGGCAGGAAATTTAAAAGGATAAAGGTGGAAGGGGGACATCATAAATACAATGTCTAATCAAGGGGTACGGGGGAAAAAATTTTGTGAACCGATGACTTGACAACCACTGGTTTGGAGTAGTTCTTAAACCATTTTGGTTATTTCGAATTCCGGTAGGTTGCGGTAATTATATTGGCACAAAGCTGGATTAAATATATATTTTATTTCTTCATGACAAGTGGAGATGTTACTTAGAACTTTAGGCATCATCAGAGAGAGGCAGGGATGTTTAGAAGACTCTCTGGCTTGTCGGCAGGTATCATTTGGAGTCATGACAACTGATTAGGGGTTCTCAAAGTCTGGCAGTCAGCCCCAAAAAATTTGAGTACTCCTGCTCTAGTTTGATGTACCAGTACCTTTCTTGCGGAGGTGGGTCCTCGGAAATGTAGAAAGTGGTCCCCCCCCCCCCTTATTGTTATGGTGGACTAGCGGACTGGACCGTACCGATAGCCATCCAGGGCAAACGGCGCGCATGCGCGGAGACACTATAGCGAGAGTGATTGTTTATGAAAAAATTTGAGTACTCCTGCTCTAGTTTGATGGACCAGTACCTTTCTTGCGGAGGTGGGTCCTCGGAAATGTAGAAAGTGGGCCCCCCCCCCCCTTATTGTTATGGTGGACTAGCGGACTGGACCGTACCGATAGCCATCCAGGGCAAACGGCGCGCATGCGCGGAGACACTATAGCGAGAGTGATTGTTTATGAACCGTGTTCCAGACACAAGCAGAACGCCAACACCTGATTGAGAACGTGTATTTATGTATATATATATATATGTTTATGTTACTTGTTTGAAATAAATACAATGGAAACATATCACCTATATATAATGCAGAAGCTTCCTAGTTTGAGAAAATGTGGAATCTCTTCATCCCCTTAACAGCAGAAGGGCGAGGCTCAAGGCCTAAAGCCTTTATGGTGACATTTTATGAATCTTCACCGGGGATCATTAATACATACGTTAGTGGCAATTCTGAGCCACATGCGACTCTTTGAATGAACTATTGCGCCTCTGTTTATTCTGATCTATGATGACCTACAGGTCACAAACTATTTTATCACCAGCTGGGGAAACGCAAAAACGAAAAAAAAAGTTTATGTGTGTAAAGTGTGGGAAGAGGTGCATCATCTCTATTAGTGATTCCAGATGGCGCTCAATGTATCCACCAACGCTAAGTTGCATTTTTTTTTCTTTTCCTTCGTGCATTTGGTCCGTACGTTATCAAGCCCAGGACGGGAGAAAGCATCGAATGAGAGCGCAGCAGGGGGCGAAATGAGAGCGGTGGCAGACGAGAAAGATCCACTCGAGACTTATTATTATTATAGATAGTAATAATTCTAAAAAAGGGTCTAGCTTTAAAAAGGGTTCCGACCACTCTGTTAGACTGTTAGAGATGTGCAGAAAAAGATGAAGATAAACATTTTTTTTAACGTGTGATAATTTCTCATGATGACTTAAGTTCTAATACTTCCATACCCAGGTGATGCCGGTATAGTTCAGCAATGTCGCTGCAGCCCCTCTGTTACCTGTGGCCTCGAGCCTCGCCTTGAAACTACCACCCCAGCCCCAGCTACGACCACCACCACGTCGACGACAACAACCACACCAACGACAACAACAACGACAACGCCAACCACCACCACAACGGCAACAACGACCACTACAAGCACCCCCACCACCACCCCAACCACCACGACCACACCAACTACCACAGTCCCGCCATCTCGTGAGTACCGACTGTTCAATGTCTGTTACCATGTCTATATACAAATAATTGATGTGTTAAAAATATTAATGTGTCTAGACCTCAGAAGTAATTTTTTAGACCTAAATAGTTCTCTCCCGTTAAGAGGGTGCTGTTTTTTTTTTGTTGGGGGGGGGGGGAGAGGTGGGGCTGAAGTGGAAGAAGATTCCCTGTAGTCAAATTAAGGATTTAAAATGGTTTACTACTTCCTACGTAATCCAATGGACATAAAAGATGGTAAAGAATTTAATTTTAATTATTTTTTTTTAAAAAAGGACTCCGTAGTCATAATATAAATTGAAAGTTTAACGTAGGCCAAATAAAAAGTAGTAGCTATTCTTAATTAAGTGTTCTTTCCTAGATATATCTACAATGTGTTAAAAGAATTTAAAAAATCTCTAGGGAAATACAAGATGAAATTTTCACACGACATAACGTAAATTTAATCAACGGTCACAACCCCACCCCCACCCCCCGCCCTCAAAACCTCCTTTTTTTTCCTACTCTAGTATGCCAATCAGCTTTCCGCGTCCTGAATGGAGTCCCCGTCAGCAACGACTGCGCCTTCTCCGGCATCTCAAACATCACAATACTGCCTTCCGGTCGCGTCACGTGCAACGCCGTCCTCACCACGGCGACCGTCAACGGCGTCCTCAGGAAAACCTTCATGACAACTTCCATGTGTAAAGGTGCGATTCTCAGCGCTTTCAGCAGCAATAACAGGTACGCGAAACTAGACAGCTTCCATGTGTAAGAGTCTGGTTCTTGGCGCTTTCAGCAGCAATGCCAGGTACGCGAAACTAAACAGCTTCCGTGTGTAAGAGTGTGGTTCTTGGCGCTTTCAACAGCAATGCCAGGTACGCGAAACTAAACAGCTTCCGTGTGTAAGAGTCTGGTTCTTGGCGCTTTCAACAGCAATGCCAGGTATGCGAAACTAAACAGCTTCCGTGTGTAAGAGTCTGGTTCTTGGCGCTTTCAACAGCAATGCCAGGTACGCGAAACTAAACAGCTTCCGTGTGTAAGAGTCTGGTTCTCGGCGCTTTCAACAGCAATGCCAGGTACGCGAAACTAAACAGCTTCCGTGTGTAAGAGTCTGGTTCTCGGCGCTTTCAACAGCAATGCCAGGTACGCGAAACTAAACAGCTTCCGTGTGTAAGAGTCTGGTTCTCGGCGCTTTCAACAGCAATGCCAGGTACGCGAAACTAGACCACTACAACTAAACGCCGACCGACCTGAATATGAAGAAAGAATTTTTGATCATTTATGAAATTAATATATACGATAATTTACACGTTGGTGACTTGTAAAATCTCTAATCTGTTTTAATTTGTCTATCCATCTGGGATGCATGAGCTCTGCAGTATCTTGAAAGCGTTCCCCAGGTGCAGATTAACAGACGGATTGACAGATAAGTGAAGATAAACGGCGAAAAAATAAAAATAATTCGAAACAACATTTTCACCTCAAGGTATTGCATGGAACTGTAGTTTTTAGAGAATGTGAAAATAACATTTTCCTTTCAGTTTGCCTTTTCATCTTACATCTCCCTAAAGGGAGAAAAAAACAACCTTTCAACATAATTTTAAGGATCCGATGACGGATTCAATGTAAAAAATTTACCAGAGTAATCTTTTGCAAACCAGCAATGAGCTCACAACCATTTTGTAGCGTTCTCTTGGACGCAATCAGAATTTTTATTTTTTAAATTCATTCTCGTATTTTCATTCTTTCGGGTTCATATGCCTTAGCCTTTGCTCCCACTGATCGCAGTCTTCTTCTTCCTATATTTGAGGGCCTACGATCAATTTATTGATTATTCTGGCTCCTGGTTTGAATGTAGAGTTTGCAGAGAACTCAATCTTCCCATTGCTATATGATTAACCCTTTTTTTCCCGGCTATTTTCACGAGATCTGCTCGATAAATAACAAACTGGACACGTTTTTACTAAATGTAACTAATTATTGAGTTTTTAACTATTTTTTAAAATGTTTGTTTGGTGGTTTTAACAAATAAACAAGCAAACAAACAATGTATTTTAAAAATAAATAAATAATGCCGGAAAAATGAATGTGAGAAGAGTGTGCAAAAATGCCGCAGCCATGAAACCAAGTTCAGTTAAGTAAATGGAAATTCGGTCGATAGCAACAATCAATCGTGTGGCTTCTTTGATGACTTCTATTGCCTTATGTGAGATTCCTTGAAGTCGATTTATCCCCTATCCTAAGCAGAGCCATCACGTGACTTTTGCAGGCATCCTGCCAGATTTTAGCCTTATCCCACCCCCTCCCAACCAAATAATCTGAGGTCCCCTGTTACTGCCGGGGTTTTGCAAGACGCACGCGACTGCTCTCACCCCAAGGAGAGGAGATGGATGGAAAACTAACTCCGAATTTGAAGTATATGGCATTTATTATGTGTGTGATAGAATGCATAGCTGATACAAATAGAAAGAATTGAGTAGTTTTATATTGTTTATGCCAGATAGTATTCCTTTAGCGAATTTTTGTGTTCCTTTTTATTTTCAGTGCCGAGATTTCTATTGGACAGCAAAATTACCCCGTGATGGCTCCCTTGTTCAACATGACAGATGGTAAAATATTCTAAATCTATACTTATACATTTAATTCTTTTTTTTTTTTTTAAATGTCATTCATGAGATTTTTGTACATCACCAGTAAACTATTTAGAACAGTATGTTTCCGCATATGGTGTGTTCCAATTATCGGAACAGTGATGTGGTCCAGTTGTTTGGTCGAAGGATGAAAGCTAGTTATAACCGATAGAAATTAAACCATATTATATTTAAAAGTGGGCTTAGATTTAGAACTTCGGTCTTGAAACCATGGTAATTATACATTTCAAAAACAAAACAACAACAACATCTAAGTACTCAGAAATGTATGTATCAAGAATATGGCAGCACGTTTAGAAAGATCTTTGAACATAATTATGTTCTTCTAGGAACCAATGGAATCGCTTACATCACCATCAACGACCGCTACATCAATCTGCTTGGCTACCTGAGCACTTGCCAGAACACGGCCTGCTCTTACAACGCAGCCACCATGAGCGGCAAAGTGGATTTCAACGACTGCAAGGTGGTCAGTTGGGGCTCCAGCAACTACAGTGAGTCAACTGGTCGAGGCAGAATGAATCGGGGCGCTTCTAGAAGCAGGGTTGGGGGGGGGGCTTTAAATAAATTCCCAGAGGTTCTCAACGGATGTCAGCATGGGCGTTGTCCAACTGATATTTTGGACCCCAGGCTTTACGCTTTATACGAGGTTCTTAAAAGAATTAGTTATAAAGAAGAACGAGCGTTAACGAGTAAGCGAACACTTACATTTTTTTAGAGGAAACTGTGGTTGTGGTATGGTGATTCATTTCAGCGCTTTCAGTCACCATAAAAGATTAAGGGATTTTATAAGCGCATTTTAAAATTGTTAAGTTCTGGTTGATTTTAAAAATTTGTGTGACTATTATTGTCTGTTAGTTTGCTAACATGGAAAGAAAACGTCTTCGCGAAACATTACGTTTCGAATATAATACTGTTTTAAAGTAATCTTAAAATAAAACTCAACTTGCGTATTTATTTAGACTTTTGACTCTTCGCAGGGGCGTAGTCCAAATGATATTTTGGGCCCCAGGTTTTGCGCCTTATAGGGCAATTCCATCTAATCTCTTATGACATCTCATCCTATACTGTTTTTTTTTACTATTTCAATTGGCATACGGCACAAATGATAGACATAAATCCATATATAAACAAGTCCATGTATACACAAGTCCGTAGCCCAAGTTCATTTATACACAAGTTCATGTTTACCAAAGTCCATTGATAAACAAGTCCATGTATACACACATCCATTTATACACAGGTCCATGTATACACCAGACCATTTCATTTCTTCAGTTTACTATTTCAGTCGTAACTTGCACCACTCAATGACACTCTACTTGCAGTGACTCTTGGTCAGTCTGGCCTATACGAGACAGCGGTCAAGATGACCCCCTCAGGGTGCACGTCCATTGCAAACCTCTTCGGGGTGACCGCGCCATTGTGCTTCACGACAATCAGTGGCCAGAACTTGTTTTGCTCGGTAAGTCCCACTCCCCTCCCCCCTCCCCCCTCACCCTCATTTAATATATCAAAACACAGCTTTGCTCATCCAAAACCCCAGATAAGACATATCTTACCTTTCCCTCAAACGCATTTTAAGTTACCTGAATTCATTGTTTGTAATCATTTTTTTTTAACACACTTACCGATTACGATTCCAGGTTTTTTTATGAGTGTATGTTTTTTGTTTTTTTTTTCAAATGATGAACTGGTTTATCTTCTTCCCCCCCCCCCTGTCAAAACAGGGAGACAGCGGGGCGCCAACCTACTGCAGGGCGCCAAGCAACGGCGAGTGGATCCTTGTCGGCGTCCTTGCTTTTCAGGCCAAGTGCAATGCCAGTCCAGAGGTGAAGGTCATTCCTTACCCAAGCTAAATCAAATCTGCCCCACCCCCCTCGCACACACACACACACACGGAGCTGCGTGTTTTCATCTAGCCTCTTCCTGAGTGTTGACATACGGGACATCTCGGTCCCTTGGTTGTTTGGTCTCGCCACTGTGGTCTCTGATCCCCTGTCGCGCTTTGCTTTCGGTAGAAATAAAATTCGAAAAAAACACCAAACTGAAATTCTGTTTTACTTTGTATTGTAATCAAATTAATTATATGGTAAAAAAAAATATTAAAAGAACTGTAATGTTATAGCTAGGGCCGGGCTTAAATATGTTTGCGCTCCAGGCAGTTGTACAATTTTTGCGCCCCTGCCGCCTACACATTTTCAGGTTGATATAAAGTGTTGACTAATTTTTAATTAAAAAAAAAAAAATATCTTATTCTGACACCTAATTATGGGCGATGAAAGAGAAATATTATCTAGATAATATATATTGAATTGAACATTAAAAATTAATGTGCTTGAAATTAAAATGGCTTTATTTTTTATTTTTTTAAAAAAAAAGGGTGTAGCCCGAGGGTGCTGTTTATAAAGTACGTCCGCAAGAATGACCTCTCTCCCCACCCCCTTTTTGTGTTTGTTTGCACTCTTTTGAAAGATCCTCCCACCCATCCCCCCCCTCTTTCTTTACGGGTATCCTTTATGAATGAACAATAATTCTTACACGTAAAATTCCCATGTTCATGCAGCTTGCAATGGCTTGAATTGCTGCACTATTTATTTTTATTTTTTGAATTGTCAAACATTTTATTGGCATCACTTGCTGGAAGAAAATATGCTAGACACTGTTCTTCTAGCAAGTTTTTCTAGATTTTATGGAGGATACAGCAATGATGACATCATCTTGTTTTAGCTGACAGGCAACTTCATTCTCCATAGACAGCATAGCCAGACTTGTGGGTCTTTTTTGAGTAACAGATGCTCTTAAACATGTTTTAACTTAAGTTTAGAAAACAATATTTCTGCATTTGTAACGCTGAATTGAATTTTCATCATATTCTAAAATGAATTACCGAGCACCATAGTTGGTGAAAAAAAAAATTAAAAAAATTGATTTGATTGTAAAACTGTATGAAAGTTCAGTGAAGATGTTTTGCATGGCATCATACAAGATGTGTGTGTAATCCTTTGGTCTCATTTGGTCGTAACTTTCTCTTAAAGAATTAAGAGCAGAAACCTGAGATGACATTTAAAAATGACAAAACTATAACAGTTTACAGGGTCTTCAGCAGATGACATTCATAATCACACTGTCTTTTCTGCGACACAATCTTTAAAAAACTATAATGCCGTAACCACTCTCACTCTCTTGTGTATGAAAACTCTCGCCCTTTTGAGTGTGACAACTCTCACCCCCTTGTGTTTGACACCTCTCGCCCCCTTGTGTGTGACAACTCTCGCCCTCTTGAGTGTGACAACTCTCACCCTCTTGTCTATGACGACGGTCTCATGCCTACGCGTTCCAATCGCCCTGATCATCCACATTTTCTAAATTCGCTTTGACAATGAGTACCTTATTGATTGTGATAATATATTAATTTACCCTAAATTTACCCCCCCCCCCCAAATATAAACAATTATAATAAACTTTCATGTTTGCAAAATAATTATAGTGGTTTAAATACCGTTAAAATATATATATATATATATATATTTTTAACCTACTTATTGGCGTGAGGTCTGTATAACAAGGAAAACTTCACTGAAACGCCAATCTCTCCTGATCACGTTATCCAAGTGTCCTTATTATTTAAAAAAATAATAATAATAATAATAAAATCTTTATCATATGTTTTCTGTTTCAAAGTATTACCTTCTGTTTCAAAGTATTACTTTCTGTTTCAAAGGATTACCTTCTGTTTCAAAGTATTACCTTATATTTCAAAGTATTACCTTCTATTTCAAAGTATTACCTTCCATTTTAACGTATTACTGGCAGTCCAAAAAAAAATAAGCATTGCACTTTGTTTATTAGTTTTTAAAAAATGCCGCTGCTATTTTCAAACCGTTGCAAAATTTTTTAACACATTTGTTTTGGGACATCCAATTATTCCATTCAAAAACACCAGCTGTTATACCTCTTAACATGTTGGTTGTTTTAAAAAATTGGTATAGGCCTATCACCGAAGAGTCTCCATTCGTGTAAAACTCATTTTCAGTGAATTAGGTAGTTGAAAGTTTTGTTTGTAATCAAAATGACGCCCCTGGAATTGGGCGCTCGGGGCAGTTGCCTGCTTTGCCTTCACCTTAAGATGGTCCTGTCTATAGCTATGGATTAAAAGTTTTTAATAACAATTTTTTTAAATACAATTTTTTTTCAAATTTAACTGATTTAAAAAAAAAATTAAAATTAAAAAATTAAAAATTAATTATTTTGTTTCTGCGATGAGAGAAATTAGCAAAAATGCTCTATATGGGACATAACTCACCCGATACGCCCTTCATGTTTGGAACACGTAATTCGCCTTTAGTAGTGTATTGAAACATTACGTCTATTATGTATATCAATAACTAGAAAATAAGACCCGGTATTGCACGGGTATTAAAGAAAAAGCACATTTGTGATGTGTTTTTTTGTTTAAGCTACATTAAAAAGAAAACAATTCTATACTCTCCAAAACATTTCAAAACAGAAACACAACATTTAAAATCGAATTGGTGGCTTAATCCAGTTTTTGATATATTGGAATCATTAAAAAAACAAAAAAACAACATATATCTGTATTTTTGAATATTATGTTTGCATTCAACAACTTATCTATTGGTTAAAGAATTTTTAATTGAATTTTTTTTTTTGTAAATGCACCTTTCTGTGAACATAAAAATTAAGTCTTATTTAAAATGCTTCAATGTAATGATGATTTTTTTTTAATAATCGTCTTTGGTACCGCTGCAACGCAAAATCATTTTTAAAATAATGTTAGTGTAGTGTTTACTCTCATTCTATTTCTCGCTCTCTCTCTCTCTCTCTCTCTCTCTCTCTCTCTCTCTCTCTCTCTCTCTCTCTCTCTCTCTCTCTCTTTATTTTAATTTTCGTTTTTTGGGGTAAAGGTATTTTAGCCAAACTTCCCAGGAATCGTCTTAGACATATTGTGTATGACTAGAGCGAATTTGGTTTCAATCTCTTTATTGGTTTTAATTTCTATACTTCAATTTGAATGCCCCTAGCGTACTTGTACATAAGCCCCTTCGCACTTTAGGTAGTGAATTTTGTCTTGTGGTGAACGTAGAAAAGATGCATTTATTAGATACACTATTGAGGAAAAAAACTACACAGAATCTGACTTTAAAAAAAAAAAAAGGTTTAAATTTAACTCTATTAAAGACGAGAAAAATATACAAAGGTAAATTTATCACAGAATAAATCTTTCATGAAACAAGAAGAGTTCAGACCAACAAAACAAGTCTCACACCAACCTAGATGGATCTGAAAACCAATACCGAATAAAAAATAGTTTACAAATTTATCAAATTTGTCTTCTTCGTAAGAATGGAAATACTAAAGGAATTCACGTAAATTTGTGCTTAGGCTGACCTAAAGAGTTATTAGAGTTAGTAAAATAGGTTTAAATACTATGATAGTCACACAAATACGTATGTCAGTGAATTCTCAAATATCCTCCTCGCCTGATGCACTACACCCTACACTCGCTCCAGCCACAATTCCATTTAATTGATGATATGATATGATATATATAGGTGCATAGATATAGTTTCTTCATTAACATTTTACCTAATATTAAAAGAAAAATAAAAAGAAATCTAATGTAATTTAAATTTTTAAAAAATAATTAATTTTAGTATCTTTTTTTTTTAATGCATCAGATTTGATATTTAGTTAAAAAGGCGTAGGCTGTGGCAAAATATAGAAATATTTTGGAAGACCTAGTTGTAGCATTTCACGTAGATTAGGAAAAAAATTTTTTTAAAAGATCTTAATTCATAGACTGTCTATAGGAATTAGCATAAAAAGATCTTCGTTCATAGACTGTCTATAGGAATTAACATAAAAAGATCTTCGTTCATAGACTGTCTATAGGAATTAACATGTCAACAGTTTGTGTTCTTCATATACAAATCTACTCTCTGTCACCAAAACCCTCCCCACCACCCGTAAGCTCACAGATTACAAGTAATAACAAACAATAATCAGACACGACCAAAGCAGACTTTTTCTTGTATCGCTATTATTGTTGAAGTCAATCATTTTTTTTTTAATGTGGCCTATTGCGCCAATGCTATTTTAAGGGGAAACATAATATTCTCATGAAAATACAATAATATCATCTTACTGGAAGCCATGTTGTCCATGATTAATGACTCAGTTTGGCGCTGTCTGTCTTCATTATCAGTCGTCAGATTATAACTTTTTGACACTTTTCATTTTTTCCTCACAACACACTTTTTATTTCTAATTCAATTTCTCCTTTTATTTCCCCACCAAAAAAAAAAAAATGTTTTGTGTTTGTTGAAACTGGATAGATGACCGGAGACCTCCTTTTCTGAGAAATAACAACGACCAGATCCTTTAGGAGTGGCTTTATGTGGAATGATTCTCAGGGCATGTCTTCCTTCCTCTCGATGGACGCCGAGTTTACGGCGGCATCGTCCAGGTGGTTCCAAGCGATGATTGTTCGTGGGCAAAATGATTGTTTATACTGCACTGTGTTGCACCGAGGCACAGTGAAGCATTTGCCATTGTTCCGGATGTCATTGCTCATGGGGGTTGTTTGGGGTGAGGTCAGGTTTTAGTGAGCGTTTGGCTCTGATTAAGCGACCTGGCTTCTGCGGGGTGAGATACGTGTTAGCTGGGATGGCCGGCACTAGCCCCCGTGACCACTTTATATAGGAATGTTAGGCGGAGCTTTTCTCGTCTGTCTTTGAGGGAGGCCAGTTACGAAGCCAGGAGTAGTGGATTTGTGGTCACGTGCGATGTATCGCACTGCTTCACGTTGGATCGGCTTCACCCCTAACCCCTAACCCGGTTTAACCCTAACCCGGTTTAACCCTAACCCGGTTTAACCCTAACCCGGTTTAACCCTAACCCTAACCAAATGTTCTAATACGGGTAAATGGTCACTGATGTCTCCCGAGTGAGATAAACAAAAGTATGCAACGACCACTTGTGAGTGTGCTCAAGACGACGAGGGAACTAAAAACACATGTTAAACATTGGGTGTAGCTGCACCCTTTGGAACAGTCTTATTTAACACGCCCCGTAATGCGGTAACTGGAATGTCTTTCGATAGACGCTGTAATTTTTTTTTTTCAATTTAAGCAGGGATGTCTACTCAGATGTGATAGCTTTTTTTTTTTTCTTTTCTTTTTGTTGCTTGCAGCAAACTAGGCCATCGAAGGACCCAGTCGTTGGGCCAATCTCTCAATTGGCAGAGTTACGCCCTTATTATTTAGGGCTCCTCAAATATTAATAAAATTATTAATGTCTTTGTATGGGTGTACAACGACGAGGAAGGGGGATTGAGGTCGAGGGAAGTGGGGGAGGGGGGATTAAGACGACTGCGTGTCTGAGTGTTTTGTTAAACTCCAAAACTTAAAAATCGAATACCGTAATCTAGTTCAAGACGATGAAGGGAGATCGAATCGTTGTTGCCCATGTTTCGACGTAACCGGAGCAGTGGATTCAAAAACCTATTATTGTACGACTACACCTTCGACACGAATCCAGGACCCGCAGATGACGTCATGTTTTTTAAAAAAACATTTGTAATTTTTATTTTATCCCAGACAAAATATATATATATTTTTTTTTTTTTTTTTTAAAATGACGTCACACCATTTTTGTTTTATCCTGCTACGACATTCTTCAGTCGAGAAATCCAGGACCCGCAGATGACGTCATGTTTTTTAAAAAAACATTTGTTATTTTTATTTTTTCCCAGACAAAATATATATATATTTTTTTTTTTTTTTTTTAAAATGACGTCACACCATTTTTGTTTTATCCTGCTACGACATTCTTCAGTCGAGATACATCTGCAGTATGCGATTACATACATACGAGTATCGACTACACGGCTCCCGGGAGCTTTGATGAAGAGATTTGCTTCGACTCGATCTTTTTGTATGGAGGTAACTAAACAGTTGTTTGATGAACCGGGGCCGGAAATGTGGGTACTCTGAAATATGGCAACGACCTGTGGGTGGGAAATATACTTTATGAAACGTCACACTCAAGCTACGTTAGAGTATGCAAATATTTGTCATCTACTTCGAGATCACTTGATAGAAAGATATACTGAAATAGGGAGCAAGAGTAGTTTGTCGACAAAGCAACCCTGTGTTTGAGTAGCGCACCAGTGAGTTGTAAGGTGGCAGGACCGGGCAAGGGTTGGGTGCACACACCTGTAAATTATCACTCAGATGGACAGGAAAAAAAATTAAGATGATGTCAGTTTTCATGTCATTTCCGGTTTTAGAATGTCATTTCAACAGTTAGTTCCGATGTCATGTTTAGCTTTATTTCAAATGGCTGGTGTCCGTTGTACAGAAATGATAAAGATAAAAGAAGCTCAGCTCATGCTTCACCCCTGTATCGCCTCAGTAATCCATCACCTCATTTGTCCACACACACCACAGTTACCCACACATCACCTCATTTATCCACATACACCACAGTTACCCACACATCACCTCATTTATCCACATACACCACAGTTACCCACACATCACCTCATTTATCCACATACACCACAGTTACCCACACATCACCTCATTTATCCACACACACCAGTTACCCACACATCACCTCATTTATCCACATACACCACAGTTACCCACACATCACCTCATTTATCCACATACACCACAGTTACCCACACATCACCTCATTTATCCACACACACCACAGTTACCCACATATCACTTCATTTATCCACATATCATGTCATTTAGTGACATATCTCACTTCTCTAGCACACCAGCTCTAAAATAAAACTCTAAGGATAAACATGATTGAAATGATGATAAAGATCATTTTAACGATGATTGTAATGATGATTATGAAGATGATTGTAATGATGATGATGATGATGATACAGGTGACTGTAATGACGGGGATAAAGATGGATGTAATGATGATAATGAAAAATGTGATTGTAATAAAGATGATGACGATAAAGATGATTGTAATGACGATTATAATGAGATTGAAACGATGACGAAAAGGCTGATTGTAATGGTGATGATAAGGATGATTGTAATGATGATGATGACGGTGGTGATCTGAAAGACACCCAACACACTGTATTTCCTCTGTTGGATGTCCGATTTCCAAACGAGCTTTTCAATGTCCCTTGTTGGGGGGGGGGGAGATAAGCCGCCTGCATTGACAAGGTGACCAGATCAGCAGAGACTGATCGATGTACGAAGACAAGCTGAACACGTCACAGAGACTGATCGGTCTTTGAAGGCAATTTCGGTTGCATTCAGCGTACTCCGTTGTATATCATCGTAACCTCAAAAAGACGACATTGGTGTCGGCATTCTAAGCATTCCTAATAGTGTCTCAAAGAATAGCTTGTAAACCGTTGTACACTGTGTCTTTCTCGTCGCGTACAGTGACTTCGATGGGCGCATTTCGAGACGCCGTGTATCCTAAGACTATAACATATCACTATACCTGTTAAAACACGAGACGCCGTGTATCCTAAGACTATAACATATCACTATACCTGTTAAAACACGAGACGCCGTGTATCCTAAGACTATAACATATCACTATACCTGTTAAAACAATGATGTGTAGCTCAACTAACATTAATTTCATCCCAGCGTATAGAGCTCGAGGAATAATCTGGTAGACTGACCACGTGTTGTGAGAAGAGCAATTAAGGAACACAATGTTTAGGGGGGAGAAAAAAAACATTGAAAAACAAAAAGATAACACAATACAAGAAACGTATCGCCAAAGAGCCTTCGTCGACAAACAAACTACCAAAACCAGTAAAAGGAACGAAAAATATGGGGAAAAAATAATATGTTTATTTGTATCAATTGTATGTTTCATTTCCTAGATTTCGTCACCAAATCGAAGAACTTTGTCACGTTACCCCCGTGGCAACAATCAACTGACTTAATCGATGGACGATGTCCAGTTGTCCGAAGTCCACTGACCCGAACCTGTCGACCTGGCCCAGGCTCTCGCTCTCTCTCTCTCTCTCGTGAACATAATCACCCGACCCATTAACTTGGACACGGTCGAGAGTCACATCACAGCCCCCGAAGAGTAAAGCGGAACTCCCTCGATGACGCCACGGATGTCGCCGTAGAACAAACAGGTTTGTTTGGCTTGCTAGGTGGCGCTCGTGTGTGTTACTTCTTGCGTCTGAGTCAACATGGATGTCGGCTGCTTTTTTTACAAGGCCGGAGATCGAAGAAGGGAAATGGTTCTTTTGGTGTTTTTGGTCATCTTTGTCAAACGTTGAATGGTATGGAAAAAAATAAATGAATGTTAGGGGGGTTGGGACCCTAAATGATGTTTTTTTTTTATTTGTTTTTTTAATGTGTTTACGCAGCTTAACAGGCTAAGCGGAATCAAAGAAACAACAGTTTAAAAGCAACAAATGTCTTTTTTTTTTATTTTCTGTATCTGATGGCTTGAATCTTAGCAAGAATATTAAAAATCCCACACAATTCTGATCAGAACTTTCATAGATCAACTTCCATTAAAAACTTCTTAAATTTAAACACATTCCATTCTCAACATGTCCACACAAAAAAAAAACTAAATGTATAAATAAATATCTATATCTATCATAACAACAAGGAAACATTCCCTGCACCTCCTTAAACAGCAAATCAACGATGAGAAGTGTGGCATAGTTCAACCAGTGCAACGTGGCATTAACCGACTTTGATGAATGGCTATGTTGCTCTTTTACTGAATTCTTTCCAGGACTCTAAGCATCATGTAAACATCATCCAAACATCATCTGTGGTGCGAGGTGAAACATAAGTTGTGACATCAGACATATTAAATGTCAAACATCAGGCAAACAGATGTCTGTGGAATACCACCCCACCCCCACCACCCCAATCCCGCGTTCACAACCCCAAAATTAATAATCGCATTATAAATTATGTGACAATGTCATTGAACACTTTTTTTTTCCTTCAAATTTAGCAGACCAAATTCCAACTTTTGTTTGCTTAATCTGGCAATACATTTTGTGTAAAATTTTTCCCAAGCACATTTTTTAAATATTTCCTTTTGATGTGGAACATGAAAGAAAATTATTCATTTTGTCTTTTCAATAGGGGTCTGATGATATTACAAGTTAGAAGATCCACACCCAGGTTTCCTTTTTAAAATATATGTATATATATATATATATATATATATATATATATATATATATANACAGATTCGAGGGAAAAAAAAAATTAGGCCAAGTTAACTGTAACACCAGATGACATCGGATTATTCGGAACAGATTATGCGATTAGAGGCTGGTGGGCTCTCTACTCGGATTACTGGATAAAAGGTAATGTCAGATTATTGTTTTTTTTTTTATTTCGTGCTCTCTGAATTTAATTGGGCAAATTATATAAACATATTTATGGATTTAAACGTTACCCCCCCCCCTTCCTCCCCAGCATTTGTCTCTTGATCACTTGTAACAAAAATTAAGGGTCATCCATATAATTCGTTCGCACATTTTTTTTTTTTTTAAAAGTGAAAAAAGCCATGTTATGCCACGTCAAAATTTACGTCACAAGACCATAACTTGAATGTGTACAATGGTGTACAGTGTGTTGTCATTAGACTAAATAAAAAAAAATGAAGCGTTTCAATTGTGTGAAAATACACTGAAATAGATAGCGTCGTGTATGACTATGATTAGCACCCATCGTGGTGATATTTTTAAAGATTTCTTGTAATATAGTAAGAAATCATTGATTTCAAAGATTTTTCACGGCTGGCCTTATAAGACACATTAGAGACTGTCAGAATTTCAGCAGATCTATTGTAGAATGTGTACATTAATTGTAGTACTTTCTGGAGAAAACCCCCCTCTCGGCCATACGCATGTGTACGCAAAATTTAAAAAACAAAATCAAGATTTAGTCGAATGTAAAGGTCATGTGTAGCAGTTTACTCAGATTGAAAACAGATCATGAACAAGAGAAATGGGAGTCTTTAAATTCCCAATGGGGTCATCGTATCTTTTTTGTGACTCATTTATGTCCTTTCCATTTGTCTTGTCGCCCCCACCCCCCCCCCCCCCCCCCCCCCATCCAGGCTATAACCGAATGTTTGGGACGTGTGTGTAAAAAAAAGGGGCTGATCTAAAGCATTAGGCCATCATTTGAAGCAAGAGTTGAACAACGTGAGCACCATGGCCCGTGCGTCCATCCGCGCCGTGGTCGGACTGCTGGCGTGCTGGATTGCGGTCAGCAGGGGAGCCGCGGTCAACACCTACGTCAACGGGGACGGGAAAAGTGTCTACTACAGCGCCCTCTTCTGCAACGGGTACGTCGTCAACACCCGTCTGTTAGCGTTACACCAGTTTCGGTTCCTGGCTTGTCCAGAAAGGAAACGTATTGTTTAAACGGATAACAGCTCAACACTTTTGGCCCTCCGAGCAACGCGGGCATACGGGGGGGGGGGGGGGGTGCTTTCGTTGGAAATTCTAAACAGTTGCATCAAACCTAACACCAAATACGCCCCACTTCATATCAAATGCGCAAGACCTCACATTAGATACCGTCACACTTCACATCACACACGTCCTACGTCAGATCGCATGCGCCATACTTTACATCAGAGACGTCATACCTCACATCACATACGTCATACGTCACATTAGATACGTCACGCATCAGATCAAATACGTCATACTTTAAATTTAATATGTCATACTTCACATCAAATATGCCACACTTCATATCAAATACGTCATACTGCACATCAAATACGTCATACTTTAAATCATATACGTCATACTACACGTCAAATACGTCATACTTCGATCAAATACGTCAAGCTACACATAAAATACGTCATACTTCACTTCAAATACGTCATACTTTAAATAAATTACGTCATGTTTTAAATCAAATACGTTTCATACTTCACATCAAATACGTCATTCTTTAAATCAAATGCGTCATACTTTAAATCAAATACGTCATACTTTAAATCAAATACGTCATACTACACATCAAATACGTCATATTACACATCAAATACGTCATACTTCACATCTACTACGTCACACCTCACGTCGCATTTACTACACGTCATACTTTACATAATAGAGATACAAATCCAGACCCAAAAATCGATGTCCATCAATAGCTTAATGTCTAAACATTCCCCCACAATGCTTCCATCCGTCGATCCATCCATTCATTCATCCATCTATCCATTCTTTCCTCCATCCGTCCAGTGGATTCCTCAACTCTGCCTACCTGCAATACATCAGAAGCACGTACACCACAAGAGACAACGCGGAGTGCTGTTTCCTCGAGGACTCCCGGAACAGCTGCTGCCTCAACAGTGAGTCGTTCTCGGATACCTACCAGATCATTCGGGAGCCTGTGCCTTGCACCGAAACTCAATATCTATCAAATATAACGCTACGTTACATTCAGTACTCAGCCTTGACAGATATAACTTACTTATTTTATCTTTAGAGACAACTTGTCAACTGCGGACCGAACGCCTTAAAAAAAAATGTTCTCCTATCTCTCTCGGAACTCATGTAAATGTTTTAGAATTCTGCTAGGTTCAGAGGCGTAGCGTGGTGGGGGTAGGGGGGACAGATGTCCCCGGGCGCCAGCTAGTTAGGGGCGCAAAAATGTGCTTTTATATTATTTTATTGAAGAAAATAATGGGTTTGAGAGTTGAAAAAAAAAAAAGGGGCGCTTTAAAATGGATCTTGTCCCCGGGCGCGAATCTTGTCCCCGGGCGCCAAACACCCTCGCTACGCCACTGGGTAGGTTGAATATAAAGTGGGGGTAGGGGGGAAAGATGGCCCCGGGCGCCAGCTAGTTAGGGGCGAAAAAATGTGCTTTTAAATTATTTTATTGAAGAAAATAATGGGTTTGAGGGTTGAAAAAAAAAAAAAGGGGCGCTTTAAAATGGATCTTGTCCCCGGGCGCGAATCTTGTCCCCGGGCGCCAAACACCCTCGCTACGCCACTGGGTAGGTTGAATATAATTTGTTACAAGTTCGCGCTAAAAAAATATGTGTCCGCCCTAACACTAGCTACGCCACTGAAACCATAAAATCATATACTATTTTGTAATTATTGTTTAACTGCCTATATTGTGAGTGTAATGACGTTTCTCTATGCAGCCAATGGATCGACAACGGAGTGTAGATGCAGTCAGTCCGTCACCTGTGGCATACCAACGACTACCACTACAACCACCACAACTACAACAACACCTACCACCACGACGACAACACCTACCACCACGACGACAACACCCACCACCACGACGACAACACCCACCACCACGACGACAACACCCACCACCACGACGACAACACCCACCACCACGACGACAACACCCACCACCACAACCACCACACCAACCACCACAACCACCACACCAACAACCACCACACCAACAACTACAACGACACCAACCACCACGACCACACCAACAACTACAACACCAGCTCCTCCACGTTCACGTAAGTACTGCTAAATCCCTTTGCATTAGTGAAAACATTGTTTTTTTATGTCACTCTGACCCGCAACCCCCCCCCCCCCCCCCCCCCCCCCCCCCTTTAGTGACCTAACGAAACACTTGTCCCGCATGCATTAAGTCTATTCCCTTAACTTGCACCCATCTTTGACTTACGATGGAGATCTGATCCCTGGTCAGAAGTTGTGTATCGCTGTATGCTGCATTAGTTTTATTTAATATGTAAATGTTTCGTCAGTTTCGTGATTTTTATTATTTTTTTTAAATGTCAAAAATAGTGATCATTCCATGCCTTTCAACGTTACTTTCATTTATGAAAAGTTTCTCTCTTTTTTTTTCCTTTTCTTTGTAATATTTAGCTACAGAATTATTTTGGATTCGCATATTTCATTTTATTTTACAATCCGAATACTTACATTTATGAACATTTTCTTCTTCTGTTTTTTTTAAAAACAATATTCATAGATAGAATTTTTTTGTTTTTAAATGCTTTACATCGGAGGTTTTCTTTGGCCTTTGCACGTGTGATGAAGCAATGCAATTTCAAAATTTGGGCTTAGGTCATCGGGTGCTTTCCGGTCAACAAGTCACAAAGTATTTTTACTTAGCTGACTAAACATGTCTTTAAAAAAAAACAAAGTGTTCCGCTGTACATAGTTTCACCATTTCTCTCAGCGTTGATCAGAGTTTAACAATGCATCTCCCCCCTTTCGACGCAGTGTGCCAGGTTTCCGCTCGCGTCCTCAACGGGGCCAGACTGGTCAGCGACTGCACGTACTCCGGCATCGCCAACATCACCGTGGCCAAAGGCGCGGTCACCGTCTGCAACGCCGTGCTGACCACAGCGACGGTCAACGGGACGCTCAGGACGACCTTCCTGACGGCCTCCGTGTGCAAGCAGACGATAGCGGGGTCTCCACAACAACAGTAAGTGGTAGGGGGAAAGGGGGAAGGCACCAGTGATTAGTTCAGAAATTTTCTCCCGGGGGGGGGGGCACTTAAGAGTTTGGGGGGGGGGAGCAGTGCCAGAAGTGCCAGTTGATTTATTGTTGGAAATATTACCCCGAGACATAGCTGAAATAAACCCTGGAAGGCACTTAGAATGATTTCACCATATTTTGCCCCCCCACCCCCGAATCTTCACCAAACATGTGTCTCAACATTTAGACACCCCCATCACACATCATCACAAATTCGTGACCATCACACACCCCTCCAATGCTTGATGTCATTTATGAATGCCCCCCCTCCACCCTCTCTCTCTCCCTAAGACAGGAGAGAATAATACGGGCCATTTAGTACAGCCATTCTTAACATCTAGGCCTATGCTAGTAGACTCTTAGATGGCTGGGCTCACGAGATGAGCAAATCAATTTATTTATTCTAAATAAGTACGAAAGAATTAAATGGTTTATTTTCGTATTTTATAACTTTTCAAACCTGTGTTGGGCTAGAACAATTTCTTTTTTTTTTTAAATGTTGAAATGTGTTCAGTGAATACAGTCGTTTAAGAACCACTGGCGCAGATGCCAGGTATAGCTCTATCACTGCATCATTGCAAAATAAGTAAATAACATAGGCCTAAATATTATTGCAGGTGTGCGGCCTTCAAATACATTTTCTTTCTATAAAAAACAGATTTGACTTAGAAATCGGGTCCCAGAAGTATCCAATCCCATCTAATATCTTCACCTTATATGATGGTAAGTACGGTAATTGAGAAAGTAGGGTGCAAATTGGTTTTGATTATTTTGAAAAATTGTGGGGGAGCGGGGCCGATAAAGGAGGAGAAAAAGAGAGAGAGACGGGGCGAAAGAGTGAGAGAGAGACATTAAAACAAGATAGGGAAAGAATGCAGACAGAGACAGATAGAAAAAAAGAGAGAGAGACGAGAGAAATAGACAGATAGAGAGGGATAGAGAGAGAGAGAGATAGACAGACAGACAAGGAAAGAAAGAGAGAGAGAGTCGGGATTGAGAGAGGCATTGAAAGGAGATGGGAAAGGGTGAGAAAGAGAGAGACAGACAGGCATATAGAAAGAGAAAGAAAGAGAGGGGGTGAGAGAGAAAGAGAGAGAGAGGTGGAAGTGAGAGAGAAAGAGAGAGATATATAAAGGTATGGTGAAAGGACTGATCCATTAGTTGAGATGTTAAACCTCTTATTCGTTGCCAGGTGCCAATGACGCTTCATTCCTGGACGTGAATGACCGGTACAGAAATCTCTTGGTCAACCTGGGCATCTGCCAGAGCGTCGCCTGTCCTTACAACAGCGCCACCATGGCCGGTCTGCTGGACTTCAACAACTGCAAGATCATCAGCTCCGGGGTCTCCAGCAATAGTAAGTCTGCTTGATATTATTTCAAAGGTTTATTTGTGATGGGATATTATTTCAAAGGTTTGTCTGTGCTGAAATAATTCAACTGTTTGTTTCTTTTAAGATAGTTGAACGCTTTGTTTGTGCTGAGATAATTTCAATTAGAGACCGACCAAACTTTGACTTCGGTTTCGGCGCCGAAAGTGGCCATTTGATCCCTCTCGGCCTAGTTTCGGTTAAGGGGGGAAACAGAAAAGTTAAATTTCGGTATAACTTCGGTTTTGGCCGAAACTGAAAAGTTAACTTTCGGTTTAATTTTTAAAAAAATAATCCGGCTGAACCAAATAATGACGTCACCAGCACGGAAGGACTGGTGTGTGTTACTACGCTAAATATTAATGCAGCGATATCTTGGCAGCCATTAATGAAAACACAAAGCATTAGTTTGACGATAACCTCGAAACATCGTGGTGATATTGTTGGATAGCCTTAATAACTGATATTTAAGTCGAAATCAGAAAATCACTTTCAGTCGGTCTCTAATTTCAATGGGGTTTTTTTGTTTTTGTTTTTTTTTTTGTCCTGAGATATTTCAACGGTTTGTTTTCTGCTGATATATTATTTCAAAGGTTTGTATGTGCTGTTAAATGTCGATAGTTTGTTTGTGCTGAGATATTATTTCAACGGATTGTTTCCTCGTGATTTTTGCTTTCAAGTGGCTAGACTGTAATTCACATCAAATGTTCTGACAGAACCTCTGGATTAGGATTTGGCATTGGATCAAGATTAGCTGGCGTGGGCAGCTTCGCAACTCAACATTACTTATTTTTCGAATACTTAAAAGACTTAGCTTCGAATCTGTTGTTATCTGAAGTTTGGATTTATCATTTACTAAGTAATTTTAGCTTAAATTTATCAATGGCTCAGTACTTTTAGTTTAAATTTATCAGGCACTCGGTACTTTCATTTAAAATTTATCAATGACTGAAGTTGGCATTCGTCAGATACAAAGGTTTGAATCTCTCAACCTCTGGAAGTTTAGAGTTCCCCGTGCCTGCAGTTTGAAGTTGTCGATATCTGTGCAATGCTATACTGTCCCCTTTTATTATCTGTGCAATGCTTTGCTGTCCCCTTTCATTATCTGTGCAATGCTATGTTGTCCCTTTTCATATCTCATTAAATAAGAAACAAACAATATAGTTTAATAAGAATGTAACTATTTACGTTTAAGCCTCATCGCAGTCCAAGCTACAACATAACTATGTCACAACTCCTTGGAGTTTGAGTTAAATATATTGAATACAAAACATTTCGTAAATCTTTTTTTTTCCTTTCTTAAATAAATACATGACATATTCCCTTCGTGCTATAATTATTTCTACCTGGAGGCTGACGACATTTTTAAAACAAATGACGTGGATTTGTGTTTTTTTAAATTATGTTTTTCATTAATCTGACAATACATCTTACAAGCCTGAAGTTATGTAAAAAAAAATGTTAAGTTGAAAGACTAGAATTTTGAATTAACTTTCGGATTTTTTCTTCTTCTAATTTACCGGTGCTAGAAATGACCCACGAAAAAATGGTGTCAGAAAAGTGCGAAGTTCCATGTACTTAAGTTATCTGACAAAACATGCATTACAAGTAAATGAGTTTAAAAGAATCCCAGTTCGTGCTAATGACATACACTTTAATATACCCACAGGCCTACTTATATTTTCAGATTTAAATGGATTCAATTCCCGTAAAATAAAAAAAAAATAAAAAATATTTATAAAAAACTTGCTGTCGGTGTTTTGAAGAATCCCAGTTAGTTAGAAATAAAGTTTTATCTTGAACACAAATGCGCTCTGCTGTTTGGTGTAGATATTGGGAAGTTTATTTTTGGCGCTATTGAACTATTTGAGCAGAGCATCATGGCTATACACAACACCAAGAGAATTATAGTTTTTTTTTTTATAATGTACATTGTTTGATATTCATTAATACATTAATCAAGGAATTCATTACACAGCGGGTGTTGATTTTCCTATTTTCAGCCAATGGTACACTCAGAAGCAATGGCTGGAACGAGGCTGCTGTCAAGTACACGCCCAATGGCTGTACGGGTTTACCCAAAGTGTCAACAACCGCTGTCAACATGTGCTTCACATCGTCTTCTGGACTCAGCTTGTGGTGTAACGTATGTACACTTTTGGATCACGATGTCAAACAGCCGTCGCGAAATTATTGTTCTACAATACAGAGAGAATTAATGGTTCCATAGAATTATGGTTCCATAGAATTATTTAAACGGAAAAATGAGATTTACTGTTAAAATTTGCGGTAATGGGGTAGGTCCTTTAATAGAAATCTATTAATAGAACATCCGGGTATTCCGTTGGGCCAATTGTCGAACAGCTGTTTGGTACTTCTACGTTAATGTGAGTCAGTGTAGTGGGTATTAACATGTATATACATACATATATATATAACTTATGTTTATATAAAAAGAAGAGGCGTTTTAAAAACAGCAAAGTTTGGCCACGGAACTACACGAAGTTAAACAAAACTATTAAAATGGGCCACTCCCGAAAAAGGAAGAGGTAAGAGACGCTGCTATAAAACACCGTACGTGCGTGTGTAGATTAAGGTACTGGTAAAAATAGTTTCTCTTCTTTGCAACGCCCAGCTCCTTTCGTGCAAACCTCTGCGTGGCAGCGCTCGGTTATCCGAATACATTTTTTTTTCCGAAACAACCACGATCCCAAATTAGTTCAGAAAATCGACGCTCTATTTTTATCCCGCAATATTTCCAGATGCTATGAAACTTCCGATTTAAGGGAAGGTAACTTTGACTATGTCACGACCGGTAGTTGCCCTTTCGTTGGAACATTTAACCCCGTCTTCCGTCGTTCCCGTTCGTTTCTTTTATAAACGAAGTACCGGCGGCGGCTGATCCGTGTTGACACGGTGCAACAGTAGCGCCACCGCCATATTTACCCGGCATTACTCGTTCAAACAGAGGGGTAGGCGGCCTTTGAAGGAGGTTACCTTGGGACAAAAATTGAATCAGGTCATAATTTTCTCAGATCCTATTTCATCACATAAGAGTAAAAAAAAAAAAAAAAAAAAAAAAAAACAGCAACAACCCAGCAATAATTGATGTGATATAGGCAGAGGCGTAGCGAGGGTGTTTGGCGCCCGGGGACAAGATTCGCGCCCGGGGACAAGATTCGCGCCCGGGGACAAGATCAATTTTAAAGCGCCACTTTTTTTCTTTTTTTCAACCCTAAAACCCATTATTTCCATCAATAAATTAATATCAAAGCACATCTTGGCGCCCCTAAGTAGCTGGCGCCTGGGGACATCTGTCCCCCCACTGCCTCCCCCCTCACTACGCCTCTGGATATAGGTATAAAAAATTATGGCCATGTCGTATATCGATCTGCACAAGTATACAATTTTAAAAAAAAATCCAACTAGGCCTTTCAGAGCTCGCGTGAATCTCGGGCAAATAGACCTTTTTGAGGCTCCTTGATCTTTGCCGAAGCACAGATATGACCTCACTGTTAGTATTACTACAGAGGTCATTAAAGATGAACGGTGCGTATGGTTTCTTTCCCAATTTTTTTTTTTCCTCGAGAATTTTCGGAATGGGTGTTGCGGATAACAAATTATTATTTAAGTTATTACATAATATTTAAGTTGACATAGCGACAGTGGCGTAGAAAGGGGGTGCGGAGAGGGAGGTGGCACATTTTTAATCATTTAATATATATATATATATTCATATATGTGAATATATATATATATAGGCATTTTCGGCGAACTGCAAAGTTTTTCATGGGAGGAGAGGGGTGGGATCTTGGCCCGCCCTGGGGGGCACTAACCATAACTACGCCACTGCTTCTCTTTGGGTTTGCGCCCCTCCCCCTCCCCCCCCCCGAACTCTCCGTTATTCTACATGACCCGCCTCAGTATGTTCTAATGAAATATAACACTTTTCAAGATCTCTCTCTCTCTCTCTCTCTCTCTCTTTCTATCTCACTCTCTTTCTATCTCTCTCTTTCTATCTCTCTCTCTTTCTATATCTCTTTCTATCTCATTCTCTTTCTATCTCTCTCTTTCTATCTCTTTCTTTCTATCTCACTCTCCTTCTATCTCTCTCTCTTTCTATCTCACTCTCTTTCTATATCTCTCTTTCTACCTCTCTCTTTCTATCTCACTCTCTGTTCCTCGACAGAGTGACACGGGAGCTCCAGTGTACTGCAACGCCCCATCCAACAACGAATGGATTATGGTGGGCGTGGCCCAGGTTCAGTCCAGCTGTGGCACCTCGCCAGAGTTCAGGGTCATTCAACATCCGGGTTAATCAGAAAACCCCAATGCCAGGGGACTCCAATCATCAGCTCCTGGTCCCAACAGTTAAGAATATATTTCATGATTTCACACAACCTTTCACGGAGATGAGATTTCAATATGACAGCTTACAGGCAGAATGTCTTCGAGAGTAGGAATAACTTCCAATGTAGTCTTATTTTAGACATAAAGTCACATATTTTGTCAGATATTTATTTTAACTCCAAAATAAAATTTTGTACCTAATTATTATGGATGAAATGTGTATATTTTATTGCTGCATTAATGGGTACCCGGGTACCTATAGTCACAAATAACTATTCGCACCCGGAGTGGCTCCGTACAGATTAACTTGCTTCGGAGCCAGGTGTGATAACAATAATAGTATGAGAATTATTTTTTTTTAATTGTTTTTTCTCCTTGTTATTTCATAGATTCATAGTTTTATTCTTTTTAGTTTTTTTTTTTATTTGCTTGGTTAATTTCTCTTTAGGACGGGTAGATTTTTTTTCTTTCTTATTTTCTTTTTTAGTTTAAGCCATTTTCGTTGATCATTTTTTTTTTTTTTTTTTTTTTTTTTTTGGGTGTTTTTTTTTTTTTTTTTT